TTTATTTATTTTGTTTTATTTTGTTTTATTTTGTTTTATTTTATTTTATTTATATCTCGCCTATCTGGTCGGGTCAGGACCACTCTAGGCGGCTAACAACATAAATACTACAATAAAATTGATATATAAACAATTATTAAATAATAAAACATTACACAAAGTGAAAGGAGCGATAAGAGAGGAAAAAGGGTGTCAGGGGGCGTCAGGTTCTAATCTTGTTTCCTCTCCCTCCCCTTTCTCTCCTGATTAGAAATGTTGCGGGTTTAGACTAGAGAGGCTCCTTGAGGGCAGGGAATGGGGTTTTGTTTGGCTACAGGAACTGTGTGTGAGGGCAGTGCATCAGCTGTTTGGGCTCCTAATTCTCAGGTAAAGGAGCAGGGTCTTCTGCTGCTGGAGTGCCTGCACCGCGGGAACACAGGCACCACCTCCTCACACCCTGGAAGAGAGAAAGAAAAGTTAGCCTTGTGAGAGGCAGAGCTGTTTGGGTGGGGTTAACGCCCACCTGGTCCACTGCCAACAAGCAATCTCTTTTCAAACTCTCATACCTGCCCATGACCGGGTGAACAAATAGCAGTTTGGTCCTGGAGGGTAGGGTGGGGAGAAGATGAACTTTACTCTTCTCCTCCCTCTCCTTTGGATGCTTGTATAGGGAGTGGGGAACAGGACACCTCCTTTCCCCCACCATCCTATTTGGCTGCCCTAGAGGTCTCTGCCCTGGAATATCTCCAAACACTCCCCACTCGGTCAGGCAGAGGGAGAAGAGAAGAACTTTCCCACTCCACATATTATTGGCACTATTTGGGTCACCTGCACTTGTCCAGAACCCAGAATCTTTTAAAGAATACTGTATACTGTATACTCTCTCTCTCTCTGTATACATATACATACATATACATACACACACACACATATATACACACACATGTATGTATGTACATACATACACACACACACACACACACTCTGTGTGTGTGTGTGTGTGTGTGTCTGCGTATATATAAACATACAGAAACGCAACTTAAAAATGCATTCGTTTCTTTATCTGGGTTTGGGGAGGTTTTCTATGGATGAGGGTTCCTTCCTTATGTTCGCTGCTTTCTTTTTATTCCAATTTCAAAAGATTCTTCTATTTTGCTTTATTTTTATCTGCAATCTATATTGGCTTGCTCTGTCTTTTTTCCCTTTATGGGGTGGTATAGCCCTATTTTATGGGTAGGAACAATCCTCCCTCCACCCTTTAAAAAAAAGAATAGGTGCCTGCTTGGCCTAGTAATTTTTTTAACTTTGAAAATGCTTAGATTTTTTTAAATAAAAAGAAATCTGTGGCTACATTTGTTTTATACGTGGTAGCAATTTTCTCTTGCCACTTTTAGAAAAAAGATGGGTGCCTGCTTGGCCTAGTCATATATTTTTTTTAAAAAAAATCCTCAGGGGTCTTTTTAAGTTAAAAAATAATAATTGTAAGGATCCATTTGCTGTCAAGAGGTTCCCCTCCTTAAAAAGGTGTGTTAGCCAGGTCACTTGGACTATGACTGACTCTTAATCTCCAGGCCTCTGTTAAAAAATAAAATAACAATAAAAGCCTGCTTTTGAGAATTCTTGAATTGACATTGACCTTCTTCCTAAGTGTATAAAATGGGTTTTCCCTCTCAGTAATAATAAAGAAAACTTAATGCAATTAGTTGGGCTTCTCATGGTATGTTTCCCTCTTTCTCCCTTTATTTTTATTTTTAAAGTATACAAATATTCAAAAGGATCACACAAATACTACACTGGGAAAAAAAAAGCAACACCAAAAACACATTCAAAGCAGGAAGGCACAACCATCTATTTAAAAGCCCCAGTCAGGCAACCTATTGAGGTTAAGGTTGTTGCTTTGATAACTAGCAAAGCAAATGTTGCTCTTGTTTTTTTAAATTTCCAGTGACCACTTTCCTAGATAAAAAAGTGGTCTTAAACCAGATGAATAAAATGCACTCCCAGGATATTACCGGTAATAAGACTAAAGTGGGGTGTGTGAAAAAGTGGGTTTTCCACTTCTAAAGGACTCCAGTAGCAATGGTTTTTTATGTTATGTAGGTTGGGGACCAAATCCCCCAAGGTTCCAAAAATGTAACAAATCAACACTGCTACTCGTAGGAATTTCCCCTCTCCTCCTATTTTAAGTGTACTCTCTGCTGGCTGGGTGCTGGGAGCCAAAAGACGCCCACCCTTGCCCTCCACTCTGCCCTACAGCCCCTCCGGGTCACTCACTCTGAAAGCTCTGGATATCCTTCTCGGTTCCCCGATGTGCTGGTGCCGGAGAGCCTGGTTGAAGCGAACCTCTTGCCCAACCAAGAGCCACCAGCAGGAGAGCCCCAAAGCTCCTTCTGTCGGCGACCTGGTCCAGAGCATGAATGACCAGTAGCCCTGGGCTGGCTTGGAACAGCGTTGCTGCAGCAACCACGTAAACAGACCCAGGCTCTGGAACCCAGCAGAGCAACCACCAACTTTTGAATGAAAACTAGTCTCAGCTTTGACAGGGCTCAGTGGTGGTTAGGTAGGCTGGGCTGCCAACTGCTTTCCTGGCCTGGCTCCTGCGCCTAGAACTCGTCTTTTTCACTTTCACTACTAGGCCATCAGGAAAGTTAATCCCCAACATTTCTCAGAATGAAGGTTCCTGAAACAGCAGGGATTGGCCCTGGATATCTGGGCCGGGCTGAGAAGGACTCCCCTTCTTTTTCCCACTAAGGGAAAAAGTGTGCCAAGGACCAGAGATGGTCTCTTGGGTAGCCAGCCTCCAGGAACCCACAGGTCTCTTGTCTCTGTTTGAAGGGTGGAGATTTCACCCCTCCTTCTACATCCCACATCTGGATCTATCCCACATCACATACCATGTGGTAGGGGGTACCCATTGTGGGAGGGAGTGTCTTGTTTTTTAAAAGAAGCCGCCTCATTTCTGTGGCCAACGTTGAACAGCCTTGATCAGACCTGATCCACTTTGTGGTATAGTAATGAAAGATACAACAATTTTTTAAATCAGCCATTGGACATGGGATGGGAGGAAACTTCATTTTGTTCTTTGTGACACTCTAGGGTGGTAGGGGGTACCCATTGTGGGAGGGAGTGTCTTGTTTTTTAAAAGAAGCCGCCTCATTTCTGTGGCCAACGTTGAACAGCCTTGATCAGACCTGATCCACTTTGTGGTATAGTAATGAAAGATACAACAATTTTTTAAATCAGCCATTGGACATGGGATGGGAGGAAACTTCATTTTGTTCTTTGTGACACTCTAGGTTACCATGAGATGTGCAACAGAAGCACAATTGTCATAAACCACATGATGGTGTGCTTCATGGCAATACCCAGAGTCAGTGCAAAAGGACATGGTTTGGTCTGGGGCAGATACCACATAAAAAATCATATGAACTCATGAGGATCTATAGCTCGGATCCATGTCTTTCTTCAGCTCCCAAGCCATGCATCGGACCCATTATTTCTATATTGTAATAATTTGTGGTGCAGATGAGTCCACGAAGATCCTTGCCTGGCATCCATGTTTTTGCACCACTGCAGTGGCATGCGCTGAAGGACCCATGATCTCTATGTTGTAGCCTGTGGGTACAAATGGGATTTAGTATTTGGCAGAGGTTCAGGGGCAGATCCCACATAAAAATCATGAGGATCCATGCGTTGGATGGCTGTTTTTGCACCACAGCAAAGGCATGTGTTGAGGTATCCATGATTTCTGTGTTGTAGTCTGTGGGTGTAGATCGAGCCTAATTGGACAGTGGTTAGGAGAGCATATTACAGAAAAATCATGTGCATCCGTGCCTCATAACCAAATTCTTGCACCAAGAGGGGTCTTAACCGACCAGATAGGCGGGATATAAATTAAATAAATAAATTAAATAAATAAATAAATGCAAAGCCATGCACTGAAGCACCCATGATTTCTGTGGTGTATTATCTGACAGTGCTTAAGGGAGGATTGCATCTAAAAATAATAATAAATCACAAGGATTCATGCCTCAGATCCATGTTGTGCGCCACCGCAAAGCCATGTGCCAAAGAAGACATGGTTTTTATGGTGTCATTTGTGGGTATATACGGGACCCATGATTTGATTGTGGTTTGGTGACGATCCCACATACAAATCATACGAAATAATGAGGATTTGTTCTTGGTTTCATGGACCCCTCTTTTACTTTCTTCCTTGGAGGAAGGGTATCTACTCAACCGCAAATGTGGTCAAATCTTAGCTTTGTCCTTTCGCTCCTATGGGAAATGAGATTTTACTTAGGATGGGGGCGGGGGAAGCGGGAAGGGCGTTAGGAACTATTTCTCTCTAAGGAACGAGGTTACAAGCAAACAGCCTACAACTCGGGTTTAACGTGTCCCTATTGAACGCGGCTGGATTTTATGCTGACGTCCGTCCTGGAACGCCCAGGCCTTATCCTCGGCCAGTCTGTCACCGAGAGCAAACGTAGCTCTCGCTCGTCTTCGTAAGTCTATGGGCGCCCTTGCGCCTCCTCTTCGTCCTTGAGCGCCGCCTCACTTCCATCGGGGAGGGGAGGGGGGCCTTCGGCGGCGCTCTCGCAGGGACCGGGTTCTGCCGCCGCGGCACCATGATGGCGCTCCGTGGGGCTCGGGCTTTCCCCCGTGCCTCTCTCCTGCTCCGGACGCTGGGCTGGCAGGCGACCGGCCCCAGCGGCGCCCGTGCCGGTCCGTGAGTCGCGGCCTCGTCTTTGTGACGAAGGCTGGTGGGAGGTCAACCGGGCCGGTTGGGGTCACCTTCGCGCTCTCGGGGCCGGGGATAAGCGAGCGAGGCTGCGGCCTGAGGGGCAATTAATTGTTGGGGGGCAAGAGCCACGCCGGGGAGGGGGGGTCGTGTCGGGCTGTTTTTAGTTGTCAAAAATAACCTTCCTGTACGTTGTGTGTGTGTGTGGGGGGGAGGCTTTTATTGGCGAAGGCTTCCTCTGTTGCCGTTCCTGGCCATTTTTGTCCAAAATGGTGTTTCCTTTCTGTTTACAGGTTAGTAGAGTTTGGAGTTTGCGTCTCTAGATTTCTACTAGCCTTCTGTTACCTTCCTTTGCGGAGCTAAAGGAGGGAACTGTTTGTGGTGCCCATCTGCAGGAATCAGCAGATAATTCTGGATTGTGACCGACTATTTTGTTTATCACCAATATTTTTGTGCTGCCTTCAAAGCAAAAGTATTCTGAGCTGACGGTGTGATTAAAGGAAATTTAAGATTACAAACTAGAAGAACTGCCTTAAAAATGTGTTTTAGTCAAGAGCTGTAAATCTACTAAAGGAATCCAAAGCCAAAAATAAGTGTAAAGCCAGCACCTCTTGTTACCTGATTACATGGCTTACATCATTGAGCGAAGCTGAGAATTAGAAGATAGCTCAGGAAAAATGTTCAGAGGGTGTTAATGATCACTACTGGGTAAAGGGGGAGAACTTGATGTAAATTTTCCATTTTCAGTAATAGCCCCATGATATTTATCATGGCTAATGGCGTAACTATATCTAGTGTGGAGTAGTGGATACAGTGACAGACTAGGAGTCAGAAGGCTCGGGTTCAGATCCCCTCTCAGTCATGGAAATTAAATATTGCACTTACCTTGAAAGTCCTATTAGGGTCATTATAACTTAATTCCAACTTGATGTCACATAACAAACAGAAAAGGTCTAACTAGGTATGACATAGACGATGAGTGTAGTAATAAGCTGTTCGTTCGTCAAGTTCTGAATTAAAAGTTCCTTTCAATATAGATCAAAATGGATTTAGCCTGTTGTCTTGCTCAGCTGTATTCTTTCTGCAGTCAGTGACTTGTTTTTGGCAGTTTGTTTCTCTTGTATCTTGTTTGGGCAAATAACTGTGTTTTTGCCTCCAGCTTCAGGTCATGATCAACTGCCTGGACCATACCCAAAGACATTAGAAGAAAGGGCAGCTGCAGCAAAAAAGTATAACTTAACGCTGGAGGATTATGAGCCATATCCAGATGATGGCATGGGGTGAGCATTATTTCTACACCTGAAAAAAGGGAAGAATTGTGTAGTAGTTAGGATTTGTGCTACTCCTGGTATAGTTGTAGAGATAAAATCATTTGGTTAGCATGCACTTAAAATTCTAAATCTAAAAATCTAATGTATTTAGATATATAATGTCTCTCATGGTGTGAGCAGCCAAGACTCCTGTACATCTTAAAAATTAAATTTAGAATTTGTAATAGCATGAGCTTTAGTGGACTATAGTCCACTTCATCAGATGCATACTATTATGTATTATGAAGTGTAGTTGCATGCAAACAGAGTAGGTGGGTGGGATTGTAGACACTGAACCAGTGGAAGTAGAAATTACCAAATTACAGTGCTTTCTCCATTTAATTTCCTCTGATCAATATGTACAGTTTTTCAGAACTGATGTACACTGTATTTAATGGAATTCTAGAGCTGGAAGGGATCCCAAGGGCTATTGAGTCGAGCTCACTGCCAATGCAAGAAATGCATAATTAGAGCATTCCTTTTTTTCCTATTATACATTTTTATTTTTATAAACTATAACATAAAATACATAAACCAAAATACAAGTCAGTTGTGTTCCCCACCACCCTAGTCCACTTTCAGTAGTCTTCTTCTTCCATTGTCTTTTTTTCATTCTTTTTCCTTTATTGTCCTCCAGAACTGCATTGATTTCTGATTTGGAACTTTCCCTTTTCCTTTTGTTAGCATATATTCAATAAATCTGCCCCATATATCATAAAAAAATATCCTTTGTTAACCTTTAAATTTCAACTTAATTTATCATTTATAGCAATGTTCCATATTTCATTGTACCATTCTTCCATTTGAAATTCAAGTTTTGATTTCCAATTCCTAGCTATTATTAATCTGGCTGCTGTTGATAAATTGGTAATCAGCTCTCCAGTCATCATATCATACAGTGGTGCCTCGCTTAATGGCGATAATCCGTTCCAGGAAAATTGCCGTTAAGCGAAAACATCGTAAAGCGAAATAAAAAACTCCATTGAAATGCATTGAAACCTGTTTGACTATTCGGACTTTTGTTGGTAAGGTGATGTCTCTGCTTTTTAAGATGCTATCGAGGTTTGTCATCGATTTCCTCTCAAGAAGCAGGCGTCTTTTAATTTCGGGGCTGCTGTCACCATCTGCAGTGATCATGGAGCCCAAGAAAGTAAAATCTGTCACTGCCTCCATATCTTCCCCTTCTGTTTGTCAGGAGGTGATGGGACCAGTGGCCATGATCTTAGTTTTTTTGATGTTGAGCTTCAGACCGTTTTTTGCACTCTCCTCTTTCACCCTCATTACAAGGTTCCTTAATTCCTCCTCACTTTCTGCCATCAGAGTGGTGTCATCTGCATATCGGAGGTTGTTGATATTTGGAGGTTGTTACTTACTCAATAGGGTACTTCTTTTATTCCATTCATCTTTTTACATACAGTTTTATCCTTTACTTTATCTAAACCTATGTTAAAATTATTTACCTTAATAATGTATCCCTTTCTAACCTTCTCCATTTCTTTAACAACAGTTTTATAAAATTCTCCTTGATTTTCATTCAGTGCATAAACATTTGCTAATGTATAATCTTCTTTCCCCATTAATCTCTGTATTATTAAATATCTACCATTATTATCTTTTACTACTTCTTTTACCACAAATTCACGGTGTTTAGGGATCGATATTGCTACACCTTTAGATTTGGTAGCCCCAAATCCTTTTTCATAAATATGTATATTTTAAAGTTTCAGTTCATTAACTTCATCCTTTTATTGATGAGTCTCTTGTAAGTAAATAATGTCCACCTTATTCTTCTTTTTCAATAACCCTTCTGTTCTTTTTCTCTTTGTTACAGACCCTAGGCCTTTCACATTTAAAGTAGCCACCCTTATGTTTTTCCTCATATTCGTTCTATATCCCATCTTTTTTAAGGTCATGTAGTGCACCTCACAAAACAAAAAGGGAAAAAATCAAATTCCCAAAATACAATTTCCAATCCTCTATCCTTAGCCCTCCACCCTACAAATAACCTCTTTTGCTCCCTCTACCACCTCCCCACACCATACTAAGGTTCAACGCAACCCTCTTGGGGGGGGGAGATGTCAGCCCCACCAGTCCGAACCCAAGCCAAATTCTTGCTCCTATTCTACCCTACTTTTCCCCCCTAATGCTCTCCCCCTCTTTATTTTACTTATTTATTGCCCTTTTAGCATCCTTATCTCTTAAAGTATTCCTGATTAAGTTGGTAGACACCTAACTTGTACTTCAAAATCTCCAGTGAAAAACAGTCCACCATCCTCTGAGGTAGTCAGTTGCTTTGTCAAATGCCTGTCACTATTAGTAAGTTCTTCCTAATGTTTAGTCAATATTTCCTTGTAAGTTGAATCCATTACTTCTCATCCTAGCTTCTTGTGTTGTAGACCTACAAGTTCCTCGTTGTTCCTTTTGCTTCAAGCGTAGCTGGTAAAACCCTCTATTTGTTTAAATCATTCTTGCACATCTGAGCTCATTTTGAGCTTTAGCCTTCTCAACCTTTTCTCTGCAAATATTGGCTATCTCTGTGTACTCTTCCTGGTGATTTGACACTCCCCCACCCCATCATATACTTGTCCCTTTTTAATTCATCCAGTGACTGTTTGTGCATCCATTTCAGTTTCTTTAAATCTCTCCCATATTTCTTCTTCACAGGAAATGTTATGATTGGGATTTCTGTATCTCACTCTTACAAAATCCCCATCCGTCATGGACTCCTTTCTCTTTGAGTATTTCTGAGCATAGGTTGTCACCCAGTATTTCTTTGAAAAAACTGAAATTAGTGAAATCAGTGTTCCTAAAGTCTAGAGTGTGTGTTATACTATACTCAGTTTTCCCTTTTCCCCAGTATAACAAATGTCAAGAAGAGCCTAGTCAATGCCATCCATCTCAGAGTAGTGCCTCAGCACTAGATGGGTAGGGTATAAATGTAATGAATAAATTAAAAAAATTCTGCTGTTCATTACAACCAGATCTAGGATCGCTGATTCCCTTGTTAGGTAGATTCCCTCTACCTTCCGGAAGATGGAGCAAGGCAAGTGAGGATTTTGTTGGACCTTATGTTCTTGGGAACGTACCCAGTGTCGTGGATAGAGTGATGTGTTCAAATCCTCGCTTCATCGTGGACACTTACTGGGAGGAATGGCACTGTTAAAACCACTCCTTAAATAGCTCACTTACCTTGAAAGCCCTATTAGGGTCGCTATAATTTGGTTATGACTTGATGGCACATAAACTACATTCCTGTCAGAACTGTACTTCCAACAGATCTCAGGGTAACTGAAGTCTCTCATTCCTATTGTGTCTCCCCTCCTTGAATATTTGGCTGTCTGGTCTGGGAGGGTATCTTCAAAATCTTCCATCTGGCTGGGAGGTTTGCAGCAGAGCTACGCAGTAGCATCACTATTTTTTCTCTTTCGTTTGATTTTTACCCAGATGCTTTCTGCTTCTCTTTCTATGCTCCAGCTCATGTTAACACCTACAGTGCTGTTCCTCCTCCCTTTCTATTTAGTCTGTTCCTTTTGAATAAGTTATAACCTTAAATTACTACTTTCCGATCAAAAAATCTCATTCCACCAGGTTTAAGTTATACTGTAGTTGTCCTTTTGCTCCAGCTCACCTTGTTTGTTTCCCATGCTACATGCATTGGTATAGAGGCATTTGAAAACATGGGTCATTCCCTCCATCTGCCCCCTTGTTATCCTGTCCCCCATCTATTTGAGGGTTGCTCCATCCACATCCCACTTTCTTAGTTACACTCCTGCCCCCAGTACTTGGTCTCTTCCTGTCTTCTGGAATATCATCTGTCCTCACTTGAATTCTGTCCATAGCCCACCTGACAAGGTTTGCAAGTCTCCTACCAAATACACTCTTCACAGCCACTCTAAAATAAAACCCATTGCTAGCCAGTAGTCCTCCTTCATGAAAGCAAAGGCGGTTCCCAGAAGCCAAACCTTTCCTGACAGCACATATTTGCACAACCAGTTGTTCCCTTTCAGTATTTTCCACTCTCTTGCTGGGCCATGACTTTCAACAGGAAGGAGTGACAAAACCAAACAAACATACACCTTTCCTTCAAGGTCCCTTACCTTCTTACCCAGAGCCTCCTAGTCAATTGCAAAGCACCGAAGGCTGGGTCTGGCAGCATTCGCTTGTTCTCACATGGATGAGAAGGTAGGATTGATGGTCAATGGACCTGATGATTCTGGGCATGTTTTCTACCAAATTCCTTGATCTTCATCCAGAGAGACAGCACACCTCCTGTTTCCATTAAGTAGTAAAATGTCTTGTTATGAGGAATAGGACTTCTTCATGTAATGAGTAGAACAAGACTGAAGGTTGGTTCTTTCTACATTTCCAGTCTAGCGAAAAATGGTGGGAATGGCTAAAATACATGTAAACTAGCTTGCTTGGAAATGATTCAAATGGTTGAATAATTATTATTTATTCAGTACAGTAAACATAACTTCAAGAGAAATCGTGTATGTCCTTCTTGAACTTCTCTGTTATTTAGTACAAATTTTTATGATGACTTTCTTATGCTTCACACAGATATGGCGACTATCCCAAATTGCCTAATAAATCACAGCACGAGAGGAGTCCTTACTATGATTGGGATCATAGTGATCTGAGGCGCAATTATGGACAGCCAGTAAGGATGATAAATTTTTGTTCTCCCTTTTTGTCCTTTCACTCATAGTCCAGAAGCTTATGTTATTGGAATATCCTGTTGCACATGTGATCTTACAAGTGTATTGTTATGATTGGATTCAGATAGTCTGCTGAATCACAGCTTGATGCTACTAAATTCAGAATATTGTCCTACGCATCCAAATAAATAAATAAAATGTGTTTATATCCCCCCCCCGCAACTAGTTTCTCTAGTTGCCACACACCATTCTCTATTGGGAGAATTGAAGAATATTGAAGAAAGAAAGAATAAACATGGCGGTACAGATTTTTAAATGACATTAGTGTTTGTTATACTTTACACAGCAGGAATATTGTCAAGTCTTTGGGTCCGAGTCCCAAATTCAGGTCCAAATCTTTGCCACCTAGTCTCATGTCTGAATCCCAGGTCCGAATCCTATTTAAAAACAAGCTTTTCCCCTCAGAAAAAAAGGAGAGGTTGGGTGGATTCCAAGTTTAGTCTGAGTCATTGGAAAAAACCCAAGTCAAGTCTAAGTTGACAGCAAGTCCTGCCACTGAAGTCCCCATCCCTGCTTTACAGAATAATATAAATTGGTATATAATTGTGATCAGAGTACTAATTATTCTGCTTACCCTGAGGCTCTCTGATCTTTTTGGCAGTAAGGTGGCTTATAAATTAAATAAATAACTAGAAATAAAAAATAGTTGCTATGTTTTACTTTTAACGTACCAGGAAATATTTCCACTTTAAAGTAAAGGGTTTTGTTTGTTATTAATTGACATGGGTGGCATTCGTTAATACATATACTGTATTAGTAAAAACAAAAATCTGTTATAGTAGGACCCTGTTATCGATGGAATTGGCGTCTGTGGATTCACTTATGCATAGTCTAAAAATATTAAAAGAAAAATCCTAGAAATATACATTTCTAAAGATTAAGTTAGCAAAACTGGCCACTGGAGGGAGCAAGAGACGATGCTATGTATAGCATTTGCTATAATCTGTATTTTTCATAATCTGGGGGGCGGAGCTTTGTACCAATCCCTATGTATACAAGGGTTCTACTGTAATATTTTCTAGCAACAAGAACTGGTGGAATGCCTCGTGCCACCATTTTCAGTGTTGACATATGCCTCTGACAGATGCATAGAAGAATGTGGGACACATTTAGTTTGGCTCCAATAAAACAATACTTTTCAGATCCCATTGTCCATTAAAACCTTAAGAAATCAGTGCTGTTTTTATTTTCTAGTTGTGCACCAAGCCAGGCGAATCTTGTGTAATGAGGGAAACTAGACCAACTTCTTAACTGTAATAATTCACTGCTGAAAATTACACCAGTAGCAGGATTCTTGCGTATAATATTCAGAGTTTCCTGCTGTGTCAAATATATCACTTGTAGAATACTGACTTCTTCAACAATAAAGATTTCTAGGCTTTATGGTTGAAGGAAATAAATATGGGTATTTATTTGCACAGAATGTGGTGAAACATTTTAAGACCAGAAGGTTTGGGCAACAGGGTACAGGTTTGATGTGTCACCTAATTCTTGAACACTACCTGCTCGACCACTCCTTAGCTCTTATTGTTTGCATGTCTCCAACATGCAGGCTCTTTGGTCTTTTTATTACTATGCTTCTTGCAGCACCCCAGCACAGCTTTTTGACCCTCTTTATGGAAATTATGTGTGCGTGACCTATTTTTGGTACTTAGTGTTGCATCTACAGTGTAGATCTTCAGCAGTGCATTTTGTGTGAGGGTGATACCTGAACATTACTAAGGCAGAGTAGACAGGAGGGTCTTGTTTGGAAACAAGACATCAAGGATCTTGGTCTGTTCTTCCTTGGCTCAGCATTTAACTGTGTGGAATTTGAGAGTTGCTTTTTCAGCCTGTGTGTGTTCTGTGTTGTCAAGTCGGAACCAACTTATAGTGACCCTAATAGGGCTTTCAAGGTAAATGAGATATTTAAGGAGTGGTTTTACCAGTTTTTAGACTATGCATGTGTTTCTCCCAGTCAGTTTCCATGAATGGAGATTTGAACCCTGTTTTCCAGAGTCTAGTCTATCTATCAACTGGGAATCTGAATGTTCAGCTTGGGGACAGAATAAAATGAGGAGGTTACATTTCTAGTTGTGTATGACAGAGTTTCAAGACACATTTCTTTTGCCACTTGAAAATGTGAATTGTTTTAATAGATGTTATGTCCAGTTAAATATCACCTTACTCCACTGCAAGCGCAGCCTCCATTCCAAAACATAACTTTCTGAACTGTATAATATTTCCAGGTACATACTGACAATATTCTTCTGAAGATTGTTTCCCCCACTGATGCATGTAGTAATTTTGTTGAGAACTATCAGCTAATAGCACTATGAGTACATTTATATGAAAGCCTCTCCACTTTTCTCTTTTCTCCTTGGGAACCCCAAGAGAAGTTGGAGCTGTGATAGGCTGTTGGAGCAATATGTAACCATGCCTCTTTCTGCCTTCTTTTAACCAGATGCACTGGGATTTTGATATGTATGTCATAACGCGGGTTGATACAAGCCCCACAATGTGGCCCTGGTATAAAATGCGAAGATTCCTCATTGCTTTTTTCACTCTGATGGCTGTCCTGATTGCTCTTGGTGAGACTTTTCCATCCTACCGACCTGTGGTGAGTTTAAAGATTGCATTTAGTTAACAGGTCTTGAATTTCTGTGGCTGTGCCGATCCTGCAGAGATAATCTTTAGATTCTAATATCTCATAATTTTTGGAATTAAAACATGATCATGGTCTTTCACTTACAAGCATCTTTGGTGATGTTCACATTAATAAAGGATGTGGGAAATACTACAGGTTTGGGTACGGGGTGATTCACATCTTTTCACTTGATCACATGATGTCTCCTACACACACACACCCATCTTTAGTTTTTCCATTCCATTTTGGGTGCTTCTGCTTTTTTAAAAAAGGAATGCTTTCATAGTGGTTCAGCCAATGTGATCATTTGAACCAATGCAAAAAGAGAGGATGAGCTGAGTACACATAGACGCAAACACAGCATCTTGCCTCACAAGGGAGGGTGGGCTACATACAAACACAGATACACACAGCAGTAGCAGCAGCACACATCCACAGTGAGCAAAGCCTCTCTGCATGAGTAATTAACAGCTCCTCCATGGGAAGGTTTCCTGTTTGATTTTTAAACAGCTTAAGAAAGGGAAGCTCCATCAGTCAACAAGAGGGTTTTGTGAATTTAAAAAAAAATTGGGGGTGTGTGTGTGTTGCTGACAACCTAGCAAGTTGAGGAAATTAAGAGGAAAGAAGTCTTATCAACTCTTGTTGGTTCAGTTCTTTGTAACACCACCACTGGCAAGGGTATAAATAGAACTGCAAGCAATCAGGAACCAAGTTTTTTTTCTTCTGTCTCCTTTTTTGGATACTTAATTCAGGCTGTGTTTGCACCAGCAAAATGTTTCCAAGTTACTCCTCATGAATTTCAACTGGGTTCAGACAACACACAGCCATTACTGATTCTTTTGTTCCCCATCCGTGCTATCTCCACATCAAATCCAGCCTGCTAGAAGGCTACTACTGTATTAGTTCCGCATTTCATCGTGCAATACAACCGACATTTCATTGAGTGTGTGCTGCTAAATTGATTCATTTCCTCTACATCTGGCGTGCAGTCCCACCTCTCCCCCTGCTATCCTTTGGCTCCCTTAATTTATTTTTATTAATTTTCAAATGGGGATGTTGACGTGTTGGTGTGCTTCTGTCAAATACGGCTTGAAGTACTCCAGGAGGGTTTTCTTAGCCAGGCACCCACAGCATGCTTCTGCCAGATGGTGCTAAGAAGACAGTGCACTTTCAAGGTATTCTCGGAGCACAGATGATTTACCAACATACCCACACTTTTTTAATGGAAGGGGGCAGAGAACACAAAAGAACAAGGACATGCCCCGCTTGAGGGGTATAGACAAACATATTGCATCTAATTTGCCCTAACAGGCGGAAAGGATAAAAAAAAAACTGTAAGAACCACTATAATAATATCTGCCACAGGACCACAACACGCAACTGTACAAGAAGCAGAAGACACAAGAAAAAAAAGGGAAATTTCTCTAGTGCAACCATGGCCTCAGATAGACCCAAATTCCTCAGTGAGACTTCACTGCGAATGAATTCATATTTCCCTCACTGTGTAGTTGCACCCTTTGAAGCCCTTACTCTTCAGGAAGAGTCTTGTTTTTTTGGGGGGGGGGGTCAAGACCCTACATGACAAAGCCCTCAGGGCCTGCAAACCGCTGATGGCCAGTGTTGGGGAGGAGAGATAACCAGAGTCAGGATTCTCCTCCTCACAAGCCCTCTCACACAAACAGACCACCACCACCAAACAATCTTTTGTGAAAGAACAGTATGGAAACAACAATTGTGGCTGCTTTGGGATCACAGTGGAACAGAGTGAGGTCTGCATTTTTTGTCGTCCCCCTGCCGCAGTTGTGCTGGTGAAGACTGATGTCTCCATGCTGCTAATAATAGCATCAGAGCAGTGGTCTGATGATGGATCAGCTGGGCAGTGGTGAAGGTGCTTCTCACTGTCTGCCTTGGATGTATAGGAATGGGCTTCTGGTCCCCCTCATCATGCTCTGTAGTAGGCGGCACCTCTCTTCGTTGCATGAAAGGGATTGCAATTTGGAGCCATGGACGGTGCACATGACACAAGGCCAGTTTATGGGTGTCATCATGCTCTGTAGCAGGCGGCACCTCTTCGTTGCATGAAAGGGATTGCAATTTGGAGCCATGGACGGTGCACATGACACAAGGCCAGTTTATGGGTGGAGGTGAGTTGTGTTGATAGGGCAGGAGATCTGTTAGGAGTTTTTGTATGAGGATCTTATCTTTCATTTCTCCTTTTCTTTGCAGGCACCAAAACAATACCCTTACGATCATAAGGACCTGAGCAGCGGTGAGGAACCCAAGAGAGTGAAGCACTATGAGATCTAAGTGTGTGGAACGGCAGCTTCTGTTCATCTCTTTTGGTCGGGTTTCTCTGCAGAACAAGCAGCATCACACATTAACTCTTATTGCTTTAAATATCCTGATGCGAAGAACTGGGGAGAGCACCAGCCATGAGGGCCTTGACTGTCATATTTTCTAATACGTTTGGGTGTGTTGGATAGTGGGCTGTGTGAAGTTACTATCAAAAGATAAATAAACATAACTGTTCAGAAAAATGTGGAACTTGTTTAATAGGTAACAGTGGACCAGCTGATTTGTGCTATCTGTAGAGGTGTATATGATTGAAAAGCTCAGGTTTACTTGTGGAAACAATGCATCAGTGATAATGTCTGTTGGAGGAAAGCCTTTATCCAGGTTTTAGTACACAGTCTTATTTAGTGTTATAATGTCTGCTAAAAATAGCAAAGCAAAGTGTGCTGCTTATATACCACCCCATAGTGCTTCAAGCACTCTCTGGGCGGTTTACAAGTTAATTATGCAGGCTACACATTGCCCCCCCCCCCAAAAGCGAGCTGGGTACTCATTTTGCCGACCTCGGAAGGATAGAAGGCTGAGTCAACCTTGAGCCGGCTACCTGGGATTGAACCCCAGGTCGTGAGCAGTTTTCTGGCTACAGTACAGTGGTTTAACCACTGTGCCATGAGGCTCTAATATCTTCAGTTACTACAGAACAGAAAGTATTAGTTTTAAAAAGTTAGTTTTATTTAAAAAAACACAGAACATAGAAATGAAGTCAATAGAGCAAAGACAAAATGTTGATTTGGACCCCTATTACCTATTGTACTTCGTTGTTAAAATAGACAAATAGGTCATAGCTTCCATGGCACCAGAAGATCAAGGAGTAGCAGGCAGCATGTTTGCATTAGAAATGGGAAGTTCTCCTCTGTTATGTTACCAAAAGATGGAGCATGGGATCCAGGGAAACATAATTTCTCTGACTGAAGACACAAGTCTCAGCCATATATTTCTAGGATCATGGCTGTGGAACTCATGGGTGGCTTTAGGTTAGAGGGCAACCAAGGGTATTTGTTTATTGCAATTTCTACTGGTGCTTGACAGGAACGTTTGCTGTATTTAAAACTGGGTTATGTGGTAACCAGTTTACAAATTATTTAGAATTTTATCTGTTGCATCCCTGATTCTTCATGGCAGGTAGCCTGCCTCATGGCTTTCTAGTGATGGCTGCATGAAATGTCTGTCCCACCCATCTTTTATTGGGCTCAGATGAGTGTGCTCAGTGCCCACAACTGGCCTGTGAAAGAGACTGAATTGTGGTGATTCTAATTGCAGGTTTGTGCTTCTCTATGTTTGTTGGTTGCTGAAAAGGAGGACAAAACCAGGCTTGTAACTGAAGCAAATTAGTGGTTTATTAACAGGGAAAATATAGTCAGATATTTGATATTTTAAATAAATTATTAGACACTAAGTTGGTCTGTTAGTACCTGAGTTAAGATGATCTCTGTATTGTGCCATTCTGCACATTCATACACTGGGCAAAATCCTGTTGTGCTGGCATAACCTGGATTGAGTGCCAGAAACATTAATTTACAGTAATTAAAAGCTTCCAGTTTTAGGTTCTGAGGGTTTCTAGTGCCCCTTTTTGCCTCACAGGGAGCTTTAGGACAGGAGAGAGGCTTTAAAAGTCAAACATTGATATTGGATTGCTGCTACTGAGATCAGGAGCAGCAGTGATTTTATTTATTTTTTCTATTTATATCCCGCCTATCTGGTCAATGCGACCACTCTATTTTTATTATTGAATATTTCCCTGCCCCCAGTGCCAAGTCTCCCAAAGGCTTCCCCAGGACAAAAGAGAGCCCTAAAGAGCTTTGGATACTAAAATGGGTGGGTGTGGGTAGGAATCCTTAAATGAATTCTTTCTTCTGCCCTGGTCTGATGGATCCTGATAGAAATATGCCCACTGTGAAAAACAAAGACTTCTCAAGCTTGATGTCTGCCTACCTCAGATTTCACCTTTAGTTAATGAACAAGGTACATGATAAAATACAGTTTGTGCCTGGCTTGGCTTGAGTGAGCAAACCAGAGTTTAAATCAGAAACAGGAGGCAGAACACACACTCTCGGTCTCTCTGTATCTCTCTCTCTCTCTGTGTGTATGTGCACACATGCAGCTGGGTAGGCAGGAAGACATTCCCAGAGGCTGCAGAGGTCATTGCCATTCCTTCCATATAACAGGCATGTGGGGAGTTTTTCTTTCTTTGAGCTTTCAGAATGTGTTATAGCAGGCAAGTTCTTGGCCTTCATGGAGCAGCACTTAGCCCATCCTTTCTATACTGTGGTGCTCCACAAGACGATGTTAATCCGTTCCATTGAAATCGCTGTTTAGCTAAAACATCGTCTTGCAAAAAGCGTTTCCCCATTGGAATGCATTGAAATCCGTTTTATGCGTTCCAATGGGGAAAATAGTCGTCGTTTTGCGAAGATTGCCCATAGGGAAACCATTTTCCGAAGCGCTGATCAGCTGTAAAAATCGCTGTCTTGCAAAGCATCTGTCCCGAAAACACACGTTTTGCGAAGATCGCCCATTGGGAAGCCATTTTGCGAAGCCGCCGATCAGCTGTAAAAATTGTCGTCTTGCGAAGCATCGGCCCCGGGGGGGGAAACCATCTTGCGAAGCACAGACTGAAACGTCGTCCGGCGAAAATCACCCATAGGAAACACTTGTGAAGTGCAATGGCGATCGCAAAAACTCATTATGCGGATTCGTTGTTTTGCAGGATCATTGTTTAGCGGGGCATCCCGGAATATATTTTTTCCTTGACTCACTTAGTAAAGAGAAACCAAAAAAGTCTAGGTAGTATGAGAGAGATAGGGCAACAAACCCGCTGTTGAAGGTATAAATGGCCGAGGTCATCAGTGAGGTTTGGATTTGTGCCATCTGTATGCTAATAATACCCAGGGCTGCTCCTCTCTTTCATCAGTCTTGTGGATCTCTGCAGGTGCTGGACCAATGTTTCAGTGCTGCCAAGGGGTGGATGAGGGTCGGTCAACCGACCCTAAAGGCCAACTTTAGCCTTTAGACTGAAACTCAAACTTTGTGCTTTGGAAGCAGAGGAATTGGGTAAGGCCTTGAAGTAGAAAATAAATAGCTTGGGAGTGTGCCTAACTTGTTTTCACAAACAGCTGAAGCCACCTTTGTGGCTTGGGGTGCTTTTGACCATGGCTTGTTGACCTCTCAGTAGTGATAGCTTCTGGACAGCATAGTCACACGCTGGTACATTCCCATATTCCATATGCACTTACATGAATTAGTCCTTGAGGATAGCACAGATGCTATCACTAGAGCAGAATGTGACAGTTAAGTAATTATCAGGGATATCAAGAAACTATCTAATGCTTAGTTTTAAAGGAAATAACTTCCTGCTATGCCTATTATGCTTCCAGTCTTAAGTTCAAGAGCTTAGTGATGTTTAAAGCTTCTAAACCACTTAATACCTGAATGAGCCCCTCTGTCCCTGTATAAACCGCAAGTACTAAGATCTTCCTGGGTGGTATGGTCTCTGTCCCACACTCAGAAGCTTTGCACTTTGTGGGCATGTGAGACAACTTCACTTGTGATGTAATAATGGAATGCCTGTGTTCTAGAGGATTGACTAGTACCAATGCTGATCTCACTTCAGTGACAGGTTAAAACCACCAACTGTGCTGGCTGGGGTTTCTGGGAGTTGCAGTTCAAAAACATCCGAGTAACAAAGGTTAAGAACCACTGTTCTAAAGGATTGACTAGTACCGATGCTGATCTCACTTCAGTGACAGGTTAAAACATGACTGCTTATCCAAAGTTTTGGGTCTGTTTTAAATATGGGACAGGGTATTATTGTTCTGTGACTTTACCTAAAAATCTGTATTGCTTCCCACCCTGATATATGGCAGACTAAAAATAAGTTCAATAAGTGTAACCTCATCAAATTTTCCTATGAGATACAGTTTATGAAAGTACATTCAGGCCTTCCCTCCTGTCACTAATTAATTCTTTCTTTTTCATTTATTATTTGTTTTATTATTGTCTGTGTCACGGATTGTTTGTAAAATCCTTATGTTTTTATTGTATATACCTTTATTAGAAGCCGCCCAGAGTGGTCGTCCAGACCAGATGGGAGGGATATAAATAAAAGAAAGAAAGAAAGAAAGAAAGAAAATAAAAAATACGGAACAGTGGGGGAAAGCATGTGTGATAAAACAGAGAAAGAAATCCTAAGCCAGAGATGCTAGTCTATTTTTACCGCAAGCATTTAGGAGAGCAACTGGACTGCAGTTATTCATACACCCTTATTGCTATTCCATGGATTGCCTCCACTTGGGCCAGCTGAAAGGGAGAGGGACAATTCAGAAGGGGTACCTGCCGTTTGACAAGGTTGGTCTTGATTGTCAAAAGCAATCCCACCTGGCTATGGACACACGTTTATGTTGCAGAGATGTTCAAGGAAAAGGACATCCAGTGCAGGAATTTACCATAGCAAGGTGAGACAGACCCTTGAAAGGAAGTTGGGATTTTTCAAAATTATACCATATTTGTGTTTTAGCAAGAAATCACAATTGCCCTTTGCAATTTGTGAGCTAAATAAAATGAGATCTTCATTAATGTTTACTGAACAACTAGTAAATCATTTAAGTAAGATGTTCAGATAAAAAAGTAATAAGATAGGGCATGAAGATTTAGATGATGACAACGTAATATTTCCCGTAAGAAAGCCAATTAAATATTATGGATACAAAAAGAATGTGAGAACTAAAGAGAACATGAGAAAAAATAGTGGATAAATCACTTTCAAATCCATCAGTTATATCTGTCTTTATTCCAGTGAATAATACAACACATAGTCAGAGGAAGAAACAAGTAAAATGCTGAGCTGTTTCATCATCATCTAGATCAGGGGTGTCCAACCTTTCACCTTCCCTGGGCCACATTAGAAGATGAAAATTTGGTTTGGGCCACACATACATTTGGTTTGGGCCGCATGGGGGGGCAACCCTAGCCATCCACTGCAGCCCTGCTCCATGCACTTACCGGCAGCTGCGATCTCAGACAGCAGAGGCTGCCAGCTTCGACTCCGGTGGCTTTATGGGCCTGGGAGGGGTCCACCTATTGATGGGGACAGTGCAATGCAGTCACGCAGCTCCCCTCCCCTCCCGCTCCTTCCTTCCCTCTCCCCCCCCCCACC